TTAAGTAGCAGGGGGAACATGGAAAGCAAATGTATCTCATCCTCCTGGAGGTGGAAATCCTAGCCTCTCAGTTTATATGGCCTTTGTGTATTTCACATTGGCAATATTAATTAGAGCATATCAGAGCTTTGAAATAACTTGTAGAAAAATCTAAATTACTTTAGATGTGTTCTAATAAAAAGGCCAAAAATTTTCTTCATGAAAATTTAATTATTTAATTTCACTCAAACTAAAAACTAATGCTATCTCTTTGGACTAAATACAAGAATGTTAGAAATGACTCTGGACTAACAGAAATCTGGGTTCTGGTTCACACTCTTCCACCATCCAGTCATGTGAACTTGGGTAGATATCTTGGCATCTCAATATTGTCATCTGGATTAAGAGTATTGGGTTCATTAGATGATCTCTAAATTTCTTTCTGGCAATAGTATTTGACTTTTCTCTCAACAATTTATTACTTAAAAAAATCTCTAGGCTCCCACTGTAATACAGGGTTTGAAATATGTTGGTTAAATCAAATAAAATCCTTATGATTTGATAAGAAAAATAAGAATAGCTATTATTTATTGGGTGGTTAGTGTGATCCAGGCACTAGAGTAAATAGTTTATGAATGTTATCTCATCCAGTCTTTGATCAATTAAAAAAAGAGATTATATCCATTTTATAGAGGGGGAAAAGTAAGGCTCAGAAAGGTTAAAAAATGTGTCTCAGGATATTTTTTTCCTGAGGATTTAAAAAAATAAAGATATATTTGATTCCAAAATTGATGTTCACAACCACTTATATATGCTTTTAAAAAATAGCTTTTAAAGTATTGATGTATAGTTTTTATACAATGTTATATTAGTTGACAACATAGTGATTTTAGACAACATAGTGATTTTATTCTATGCTCACCACAAGTATAGCTACCATCTGTCACAATATAAGACTATTTCAATACCAGTGATTATATTCCCTGTGCTGTACCTTTCATCCTTGTGGTTTATTCATTCTGTAATTGGAAGCCTGTACCTCCCACTCCCTTCACTCATTTTGCCCACCCCGGCACCCCCTTCCTTCTGGCAACTAGCAGTTTGTATTTATGGGTCTATGTTGTTACAAGTGGCAACATCTTATTCTTTTTTATGGTTGAGTAATATTCCATTATATATACATACCCTTTCTTCTTTATCCATTCATCTACAATGGACACTTGGGTTGCTTCTATATCTTGGCTATTGTAAATAATGCTGAAATAAACAGAGGGGTGCATGTTTATTTTTTAAGTAGTCTTTTTGTTTTCTTTGGTTAAATATTCAGTAGTAGAATTACTGAATTGTATATTTTTATTTCTAATTTTTTAAGGAACCTACACACTGTTTTCCACAGTGGTTGCACCAGCTTGCAATCCCACCAGCGGTGCATGGTTCTTTTTCTCCATATCCTCACCAGACTTATTTCTTGCCTTTCTGATACTAGCCATCCTGACAGGTGTGAGGTGATATCTTACTGTGGTTTTGATTCACATTTCCCTGGTAATTAGTGATATTCAGCATGTTTTCATGAATGTATTGGCCATCGTATGCCTTGTTTGGGAAAATATCTGTTCAGGTCTTCTGCCCATTTTTTTTTCCATTGGATTGTGTTTTTTGCTGTTTGTGTAAGTTCTTGATATATTTTGGATATAAACCCTTTAAAGGGTTTATCATTTACAAATATCTTATTTGTAAATAAGTTTGTCTTTTGTTTTGTTGATGGTTTCCTTTGCTGTGCAAAAGCTTTTTATTTGGATATAGTCCCAATAGTTTAACTTTGCTCTTATTTCCCTTGCCTGAGGAGAAGACACGTTTGGAAAATGTTGCTAAGGTTGATGTCAAAGAAATTAGTGCCTGTGTTTTTTTTTTTTTCTAGGAGTTTTATGGTTTCATGTCTCACATTTAGGTCTTTAATTTTAAATTCATTCTGAGTTTACTTTTGTGTATGGTGTGAGAAAGTGGTCCAGTTCTCCCAACACAATATATTGAAGAGGCTGTCTTTTCCTTATCTCAATATATTCTTGTCTCCTCTGTCATTCATAGATTAGTTGACTATATTCACTTACATACACTTTTTTTTTAATGTTCTGGCCACTTTTCAAGAAGCACATTGTTTAATAGATGGGGGACCTTAAAGCAGAGGTCTAGGTAGCTAGAGATGTATTTTATTTTAGTTTTCTCCAATCACTTTATTCTGCTTGGATTTATTTTTAAACTACATAATTTATATATTTAAGAAGTATACAGATACAGCTACTTTTTTTCCTGTTCATTCTCATTCTCCATCACTTAGTTATCTGATACAGGAAGCATCATTCCCCACGAGAAGTAAAGGAGTAAACTTAGGACTTCAGACAGCCATTCCTTAAGAAGAAAAATTTGAGAACTTTCCATAAACTTTATAGTGTCTCAGGACAGTCCTAGGAACTGGAAGAAACATATGATCTTTATGAATAAATTTTAGTTGCTAATAGTGAACGGATAAAGATTTCAGTTAATCAAAAGGTAGAGGTCAAGAAGAAATGTAAGAAAAAAAAGAAGTAGAGAAAAGAGAAGAATAGAGAGAGGAGACAGTGTCAGATTTAAAAGTATATGAAAATGTAAGCAATTTGACCGGATACGAATTCCTAAAAATATTTCATAAAAAGTAGTTTTATTTGAGGTAAATTAAATGAACATGTATTATATAAAAGAACTGCTGAACACTTTGCAAGTTGTTGAGATCTTATGTTTTCTTAGAATCAAAATTGCGTTAAAGAAAGATTTAGGCTCCTAACTGAAATCAAATCTATAAGTCTGTGTAGATGCCCGTTATGTATTTATGTGGCAAAAGACCCCCTGAAGTACCTATAATATGATAAACATGGAAGGAAAGGAATAACAAACAATATGAGAAGCCAGGAGTACATAAATCCTTATTTTACCCTCTTCTTTTATTATGAAGTCCCCTAATCAGTCTGCTGGCTCACTCTGTGAGATTATCTGTCAGTATGCAGGGGCATTCCAGTGGAAGTTATTCAAATTTCACATTAATATGTGTTCTCAGAATTATCAAGAAAATTAGTCATGATGTAAAAAGGAGTAATATCATTTCTTTATAAGGACTTAGGAAGCTGGTAATTGGCTCCTTAATATTGGTCTGACGTTAGGTGTGTTTTTCCAGGAAAGGAAAATGATCTTCTCTTCAGAAAGTTGCCATGATTTTTGGGTAGGCAGAGAACTGGTCCCTTGATAGGAAGTTCTGTATTTGCCATAAACCCATTGTGTGGGGAAGGCGTTCTGGGGTAGGGAAACAACTTTCAGAATAGTTTTGGTTTAGTTTTTATTAAAACCTCGTTCAAACAAAATATCATTCCAATACAACACCGATCAAAACTGCTCCATTTTGGGGAGAGTTGAAGTAGAAATAGGGGTACAGTTCTGTCCATTGGTCACGTCTCGTGCATTATGTATTTTCTGCTGAACCTCCGAGTCTAGGCAGCACAGAAGCCTCCAGTGAAATATAAAGACCTCTGGGTTAGGAATCCAATAAACAGGAGTCCCGGTGGTGCTATCAACAAGCCCTATTAGTGAGCCTCCGTGGGTCCAGATTTCCTCGTCTGTGAAATAAGGAGACTGAACTTGGTGTCTTTCAGCTCAAATATTGGAGGGGGACTATTAGCAACTATATGCAAATCAGAAAACTTCTGTGCTTTATCAGTCTTGAACTGCAAAGCAAGATGCTCACTGAGGGGTAAAATCTGCATGCTTACGTCAAAGTTCTAAGTACTGAGATCCACCTTAACAAGGTAAGGGAGTTAGGAGAAAGTTGCATCATAAATGCAAAATATAAAATTGTGCTGTTCTAAGCCATTTCACCATATCCTTCTTTCTCACCCCATTGCAAGTAATCCGTAGGATTTCACTGATGGACTTAGCAAACACGGAGTGCCCACTGGAGTGCCAGTCAGGAGGGAGAGAGAGAGAGAGAGAGAGAGAGAGAGAGAGAGAGAAGGACCAGGGAATGGACCACTCCCCTATAAACATTCTCATTATCCATCACTTGGTTATCTGATGTAGGAAGCATCATTCCCCACGAGAAGTAAAGGAGCAAAACTTGGGACGTTAGACAGCCACCCCTTAAGGAGAAAAATCCGAGAACTTTCCATAAACTTTACAGTGTCTCAGGACAGTCCTAGGAACTAGAAGAAACTAGCCCCACTTTCCCAGCCCTCCTCCCCTCAAACGCAGAAGGGAATGTGTCCTTAACAACGCACTTATTACCAAGAGAACTTTATCGATTGTGACGCTGCAGCTTTTCTAGATGAGAGAGAGGGTGCTGCAGAGGCACATGCTACAACTTCAGTGGAAAAAAAGTGGAGCGCAGTCATTTAGACAGAACGACTCATTCATAAAACCAGGGCTGTTTCCATCAAGGAGAACGGCTGTGCCGTGACTGATCTCTGATCTACTGGAGCAACGAGCGGGTAGTGTTACAGGTATAGCGGCCCTTGCTTCCCCCAGAGGCAGAGCATCTTCTTAAGTAGGAAGATGGTTCCACGGGCTCGGAGGAGACCATCCCACCAACGCTGCCCTCAGGACCTGAAGGAATCTGGATTATTGTTGGTTGCCTGAGATGGATCAGGGCCAAAGGAAGGAAGAGTTGAAGATGCCAGGGGAGGTGTTGGAGGGTCTGGAAGGGAAGTGGGCAAGGCCCATCCCCGTAGGTTGGACCCCCCACCCCCAGCTCCTTGCTGGGAGAGGAGGGACCGCCTGTGTTGTGCCGACTGGTGGGTCACACGGGCACCCACTCACTCCGAGAGGGGCTCTCCCCAAGGTGGGGCGGAGGGCCGCCGTCCCCGCTCGCCCACCCAACTGTGGACTGGCCTTCAAGGCCCACCACCGGCTCCCAGCCCAGCACCATCTTCCAGGAGCCGGCCTCTCGGCCCCGCCCCCTCCACGAGTCCCCGCCCCCTTCCAGGGAGCACCCAATGGGCGGAGCCGGGGCCGCGGTGGGCGGGGCCCGAGGCGGGCGCATTTAAAGAAAGGCAGAGGGCGAAGGGAGGCTAGAGAGGAGAAGAAAGGAACCGGGGGGCCCGGCGCCGTCCAATGACAAAGCCCAGGGGTGGGCGCCGGCCGCCATCTTGTACCGGGCGGCAGGATATTCGCCCGCGTCTTCCGCCCTCGGAGGGGGAGGGGCGGCGGCCGAGGCGAGAAAAGTAGCGAGAGCGGCGCCGGCCCGGAGGCGCCAGCAGCGGCGGCCGCCGCGGAGCCGGACGCGGGCGGGAGGGCCGAGGGCGGAGGGCCGAGGGCGGAGGGCGGGCGGGGGCGAGCGCGGGCGGCCCCGAGCGGCCCCGAGCGGCCCCGAGCGGCCCCGAGCGGCCTCCGATGCGGCGCAGCGTCAAGAGGCGGCGGCGCCGGCCCCCGGCCGCCCCGGCCCCGGCCGCCCGGGGCGGCGGCCTTCGGGCCGGAGGAGGGGCCGAGCCCGAGGCGCGGGAGGAGAAGGTGGTGTACTCGCGGTCGCAACTGTCGCTGGCCGACAGCACCGAGACGCTGGGCGACGCCTTCAAGCTGCTGGTGCCCCGCAGCACGGAGTTCATGAGCTCGGACGCGGAGCTCTGGAGCTTCCTCTGCAGCCTCAAGCACCAGTTCTCGCCGCACATCCTGCGCAGCAAGGACGTCTACGGCTACGCCTCCTGCCGGGCCCTGGTGCCCGACCCGCCGCCGCCCCCCGCCGCCCGCCGCCACTCGCGCGGCCCGGCCGCCAGGAGGAGGCGCCGCGGAGCCCGGCCGGCCGCCGCCGCCCGCCGGAGGAAGCCGCCCCCGCCGCCGCCGCCGCCGCCGCCGCCGCCGCCGTCCCCGCCGCCGCCGTCCCCGCCGCCGCCGCCCCCCCCGCCGCTGTCCCCGCCGCCGCCGCCCCCCCCGCCGCCGTCCCCGCCGCCGCTGTCCCCGCCGCCGCCCGCCGCCCCCGGGCCCTGCTTCGGCGGCCGCAGCCTGGAGGAGATCTGGAGGGCCGCCACCCCGACGCTGACCACCTTCCCCACCATCCGCGTCGGCGGCGACGTGTGGGGCGAGCGCAGCCTGGCGGCGGCGCGGCGCCGGGCGCGCCAGGTGCTGCGAGTGAACCTGGAACCCGTGGTGAGGCTCCGCCGCTTCCCGGTGCCCCGGGCGTGAGCCGCGGCCCGGCCCCGAGCGGCCGCCCAGTGACAGTCGAGTGTTTACAGACCCGGCCCGGCCCGGCCCGCGTCCCCTAGTGCACTTTACGGGCGGGGGAGCCCCCGAGGCGCCCTGCCGGCCCGTGGCTCCAGGCGCCCGGCGCCCGGCTCCCGGCGCCCGGCCCGGCAGGTGCGCGCCCGCCGCCCCCCGGGCCGCCCCCCGGGCCGCCCCCCGGCGGAGGACCCAGCAGGACCCGCGGCGGAGCCCCGGCCTCCCAGCCCCGCGTGGAGACGCCTCCAGGACGCTCGGGGCGCATCCGTTTTTTCCCTCCCCTTTCGGACTCTCTACCTCACTGGTCTGGAAGTCCTCCGAACTCATTCTTCTTCTTCTTTTTTTTTTTTCCCCCGAAGGAATTTGGTTTCGCGCTTGTGTAATAAAGCTAGAATTTACTTGCTGTCCATCCATCCGCCTTCCCGCCCCCCCCCCACCCCCCCACCTCTTCCCACCCCAACCTTTTTTTTTTTTTTTCTTTTTTCCTCTTTTCTTTCCTTGTCGGGACTGCCAACCCCTCTTTCTGGAGGAAAGATCGACTGTGTTTTCAGAGGTGTTGCACCAGTCTGTGCTCAGGGTATTCTGAATCCCACTCGTTTCCGCGTTTCAACTGGATTCCAAAGCTTTGACCAAGGATATTTTTCTAGGGAATTCAAGCTACGACTGTCAGTAGTGTAAGGATTTGTATGGCTTCGAATTTCGTGGGCTCAGTGACTACAAACAAAGAGCTGCAAAGTATGACTGTTAAGACATTTTTTGTTTTTTTGGTGAGCGTTTCTAAAAGATTTTTTATATTGAGACTTAATGTTTATATTTACTGAGCTCCTAAAGGAAAGTGGTAGAAACTCGTGAAGTTTTGTTTAGGAAAAGTTGACCTGTTAAATCCTTTTTAATCGAATAAAATTTAAAGTGCACTGAAACCACATGGCTTGTGATTGAAAACAAACAACAGAAAATGAATGAATGAATGAATGATTCTAAAGAACTGGTGTTGGTTAAAGAGATGGATGGAATCCGACTGCAAATGATTTGGCCTCCTTGTACTCGTCTCACATACCGACCTGGGACCATTTCAAGGATAATTTATTTTAAAGTGGAATTCGCATAGGAAAAATGAGTAGGTGTAAACGCTGCGATTAAAATGCTACACGGAATACCCATTGGGATTCTCAAGTATTCATGATCCATCCAGAGGGGTGAGGCATTTCTTGGTATCAAATAACTGGTCGAAGTTGACTTTGGGCAAAATAAGATTTTCCTTCCTTGCTTTTGTTGTTGGATAACAAGAAATGTCCAGATTACTATCCATCACTCTTAAAAACATCATAATTCGTTGACCGTTGTACGCCATGAATTTTCCTTTATTACTTTTTTTTTCCTTTTCCATTCGTAATTATGTTTGCAGTTATTGGTCTTTTGTTTGACAGCCGAGAAAACCACAGGAATCGAACAGGCGAGCCACACAGAATACTGACCCTTCTTTTACACTTTTGTAATAGTGTTTATACCATATGGCCCAGTGTGGAATAATGGATAATCCAAGTGCCTTTGGTCATTGGTGGCAGCAAGACTTTGATGGTTTTTAGCCAGTGGTGCCACAGCCAGATTTTACTGCAATATCTAAAGGGTCAAGTAGTGACTTTGTACCACTGTTATTGCAAATTTAAGTATTCTGCTATGGAACCATCCATACCAGGCTGGAACATGACCTATGAAATCTTCAATGTCAAGGTTTCTTTCTGCTTGGCAGCTTCTTAGGGGAATAATGAGAGTTGCGATTTTGACTCTTGTGTTTTTAGAATTCAAATGGCATAGCTTTCTGAGATGAATTTTTCAAGTTTAATAGTTAACAGTAGCAGTTTTGTGACTTTAATTTCAGTGTTCTTGTTTTGTAAAAAAAAAAAAAAAGATCTATATATATATATATATATACATACATATATATATATGACTTTATGCCAGTTTCCCAGTAAGCCTCATATTCTTTTATTCACTACTCAATGATAATGTGTTGTTACAAATACTGTCACATGAGTAAATAAAAGTGAATAATTACTTAGAAGATGGAGAGTGTTAAATTATATTTGTGTGATAGGAAGCTTATATATATTCTTTTGGTTATTAGCTTCCATTGCCAACTGTACTTAAATGCATAGGGTTTTCCTCCCCTCTTCCCAAATTGTTAACTTTTTTAGCTGATTAGCACCCGAGAAAAAGAATATGTATTTGTACCACTTCACTATTGTATATAATTTTATAATAAGTAAAAAAAAAAAAATAAACCCAATGGCCATATTAGAATGTAATTTCAACACAGAGCCTATCTAGAGAGGTTCCCAGATGATTTTGAAATTAGGTGTAGCTGGGGGGATAACTTTGCTCAGCACAAAATTGAAACGTAACCATTGACACCATGCATTTATTTTAACTGAGAATCTTATTTTTTTTCCTCTTATGCCTTCCTCATTACTTTAGTGCGCTTAAACTTGCATAAATACTTTGGATTATCTGGGCTATCTGGTTTCGGTTTGGATATGATTGCCCATCCTAAATTCAATATGTTATTTATCTGGCCTGTTAAAAAATCATGCCATTTCTAGTTTGTGAAATAAGATGTAAAAAAATCTTTATTTTTGCCAAGTTGTCTTTACCAAAACCTTGCTAAAGTTAGTTGTTTTACGACTTATAAAATGTGAAGAAACAACTAATATAGTTGATTAGTATATTAATAGGAGAATGGAAGTATTTTATGGATACGCTTGGGGAGAATGTGAAAAGGAACTTGGCACGGTGGCCTTTATGGTGAGGCATTCAGTTACTGTCTTCTAAAGTGAGTCCGTAGCTTAGCTTGTATATAGCTTTTTTTTTTTTTTGAAAGAAATCCCATAATCTTTATTCATTCTCTTACCTTTATATCTCATATGGCACAAGTAAAGGGGGAAAGTAGGAGGAAGAAGTTTATCACCTTGTTATGCTTTTATTTAGTCTTGAGTGCCTAAATGTGGTGACCGGCACCTCAGATAACCTTTTCAATTCCTAATGTCCTTATTATCCTCCTTCTTGTCAACCAGCAGCTTCTTTTTCTTTACCGAATCCAGTAACGTTACGATTGTTGAGGGCAAGCTTCATTGTTGTTAGTGCAAAGTGTCACTGTTGTGGTGTGTATTTATTTTGTCCAAGTTTGAGTACCTGATTGGACAGGTGTAAGTTAAACTGGTGGCCGACACATAACTGATTTGCTGTGTGCAAACAATAGTACTATTTTTCTGGAAACTGTTCCGTAAAAACACATGGAAAATATTTGAATATGAAAAAAACCCAGGCAATTTTGAACTCAGAAGTTTTTCTTTATTTAAAGGATTGCCACAGCACTCTTTAAATTGGTGTTTTTTAATACACATATATACATAATATTTACTTTGTTGGTGTGTTTAAAATAATTTTTGGTAGACTGTTATGTCTTAAGTGCATTAGAAGGCAATTGTTTGTAATGGAACTGAATTGTTTTCTTGGACAGTTTGATGTGCGCATATGATTAAGATTTGCAATCTGGTTGTACTTTTTAATTTATTAACTGTAAATAAATTTTAGAGAATATACAGTGTCTGGTCTTTCAATGGTGTTGAAAGTTTTTGAGATGGGATTTTATGTTTGCATGTGAATTGGGAAGTATTTTTATGATGAGATGAAGTTTTGACTTTTTTTTTTGTGGACTTCGAAATCCTGGAGGTCCTGAGATACGTGTTTTATGCTATCTTGGGAGTCAGTGTTACACATCAGCTTTGTCTTGACGATCTAGTGAATCTCCAGAACAGTGCTGTATGCCCAAGCCATTATCCAGTGTGCCATCAATAGAGACTTTTAAAAACGCATCAAAATTCAATTTTGAATCCTGACCCCACCTCTGCCCCCCCCCAAACCATGTGTTGGGTGGTGATAAAAGTCTACCACTCACGTTTTTTCATGTTATGGAAGAAAGTAAGTGTACTCAACATGAGTAGCAGCGGTAAAGGCTGTTCTACCGAATAGAGCCAGGAATTTTCATTGCAGTCTAGTAGGTAGAAGTGGGAGTGCTGACGAGCAGGATTCATGGTACTATGTGGCCTGAATTTGTCCTTATGTAAGAATTCCTCCCAGTAACTGGAGGCAGTGGTGTAATGGCTGTGGATCTCATTGCCTGGGATGGGATTAAAGCTTTTACCACTTACAAACATTAGAACTTTGGGTAAATTACAAAAATGTACTGTGCTTTAGGTTTCTCATGTATCCAATGTAGGCAGTAAAAGAAACTGGGTTATTGAAAGGATTAAAAAGAATAGTAACAGGAGAACTCATAGGAAATGCTTAATAAATGCTATTAATTGAAGGGATGTGTGCTGAGTATATATATATACACTCAAAGGAATACTCAAAGGGAGTTTAGTATCCGAAAAGTAGAGTGTGGTCTGGGACAGCCAAAGACAAATTATGAGAAGGTAATTTGTGGGTGAATTAAATTGAAGATAGAGACAGCAGGAGGTTGGATTAAGTTTATTTACTAGGTAAGTAAACTTCACTGTTGGAGGTTTTCCAGCCTTTCTTAAAAATGTCAGGCCCTTTTATCATACCTCTGAAAGATACTCATAATATGCTGTTATGTATATTAAACTGAGAACTTATAAAAGTGGTAGATTAAAGTTACTGATCAAGAACTTGCCAAATTTCAGCATTAAATTTTCACTTGGAGTAAGCTCAGTGAGGCTTGCTTAAAAACCATGTTAATTTACATGTGCAGAACTAAAGTAGAACCAGTTTGTGTCAGCTTTGTACTTCCTGTGTTAAAGGAAATGAATGAGTGCAATAGTTAGGTTTGAAACAGCATTAAGTTATTACCAAAAGTAAAGAAAAAATACTCTCACATTTGGAGCATTGACACACTCATCTTTAGATTTTGGGTCTAATGCCTGTAATTTAGCTCTGATTCCTCCCAGCACAAAGAAAAACAATGTATTATTCTAAGTTGGTGAGGAAGCCAAAGTTGCAGTTTCTGAAATGAACACAAGAAGAATTTCCCTAGATGGATGTTATCCAGTGGTAAGAAGCTCAAAACTGAGCCTGATTGCAGATTTCGCAAGAGCAATGACTTGTCAGTGTCAGCTCTCACTTGTCTTGGTAAATGTCACCCTGAACTGTAATTCATAACATGATGACATATGCAGACCCCCGGCTGGAAGGCAGTGCTCCTAACACCACCAAACAGTATGGGTGCCCAACCAGTTCTCATAAATTTTCTACTGGACTCCAAACTGGACTTCTCTTGCTTTTGAAAGTATTCTAAGAAATGTTAACTTTGAGATTTTTTCCCAAGTACTGAAATTAGCTATGTAAACTGTATAAATATATATATATATATATTTCTCTTTCCTGTGAGTTTTTCAAGTATATATTCTTTATTTTTTTTTTAATTTATTTATTCATGAGAGACAGAGAGAGGCAGAGACCCAGGCAGAGGGAGAAGCAGGCTCCATGCAGGGAGCCCAATGCGGGACTCCATCCCAGGACTCCAGGATCATGCCCTGGGCCAAAGGCAGGTGCTAAACCACTGAGCCACCCAAGGATCCCCCTATTCCTTAACTTTAAATGCTAATAGAGAGAGTGATGATAAAAGGGTGTGATTTAGGGATGTACACTCCCAGGTTAATAAAATTATTAAAGCATAGTATACATATAAAAACTACATATTTTAAAAGTATTATAAGCATGGTTTGAAGAAATTGCATAGATTCAATATGCTTGTAGAACCAGCACTCATTAAAAAACCAGAGCATTACCAGTACCCCAGGGGATCCCTATACCTCTTTCTGTCAATGTTTCCCCTTGACGATAACAATTATTCTGACTTCTTACAGCATAGATAACTTTTACCTGTTTTTGGACTTTATAGAAATGGAATTACGTGTCCTATGCCTAAGCTTCTTTCACTCAAATTATGTTTGTGGTATTCATGTAATTGTGTGTAGTTATAAACCCTTTATTCTCGGTGGTGTGTAGAATTCCATTGTGTGAAAAGAGTCTAGAGTGTTTCTGCAACTCTTGATGAGCACTCCGGTAGATTCGTTTGAGCCACCCAGGCGTCCCAAACTCTGGCTTTTTTTTTTTTTTTTAAACAGGCTATTTTTTTTTTAAGGACAGTTTTAGTTTTAAAGATAAATTGCACAGAAAGTACAGTTTCCCCACCCCCATGGGTTTCTACAGTAACTAATACCTTGCATTAATGTGGGTACATTTATTGTGATGGATGAGCCATTCTTGACACATTATTATTAACTACTGTTAGGATTTACTCTTTGTGTTATATAGGTTCCTAAGTTTTGATGAACACAAAATGTCGGGTATCTATACCATTGCAGCATCATTCCGAATACTTACACCACCCTAAAAACGCCCTGTGCTCCACCAATTCACCACTTCCTCTCTCACCCTAAACCCCGACAACCATTGGTCTCTTTAACTGCCTCCATGGTTGTACTTTTTTTCAGAATGTCATTATAGTGGGAATCATAAAGCATGTAGCTTTTTCAGATGGCTTTCCTTCCCTTGGTAATAGGCATTTAAGTTTCCTCCATGTCTTTTAGATAGCTCCCTTCCTTCCTCTTCCCCTCCCAGCTCCCCCTCCTCCCTTCCTTCCTTCCTTTCATGAAGGGAATTCAGTTTTTAATAGAGTTTGAGGTTTACAGAAAAATGGACTGGAAAGTACAGAGGTTTCCTCTGTTCTCCCTCCTGTCCCCCGAACACATGTTTTCCCCTATTATAAACATCTTGTGTTTGTGTAGCACGTTTGTTACAATTGATGAGCCAATATTAAGAATATTATTAACTAAAATCCATAGTTTGTTTTAGGTTCACCGTTCATGTTGTGCAGTCGTGTGAGTTTTGACAAATGCATAATGTCATGTTTTGAAGCATTTCACTATCATACAGGATAGTTTCACTGCTGTAAAAATTGTCTGTGCTTTGTCTGCTCATCTCTCCCTTCCCCCTGAGTTCCTGGCAACTACAGGTCTCTTTACTGTCTCCAGAATTTGAGGCAACACTTTTAACGGTTTCAGGTTTTTATTCTTTTATTGGTTATCTTTATAATTCTAAGTAGTATACTGTACTGCTGTTTATGATTTATCAGTATTAGGCACCATCTACTGACTTCCTCTATGAAGACAATACATAAGTTCACTTAAACCACCTCTCTCCTCTCGCCTCACCTTCCCATACACTTATCTTACTGAATTCCTGTCTTTATTACTGTTTCAGTCAGGATCCAGCCAGACAATGAGTCACTATAGGTATTTTAAAGAGTTATACATGTGATGGGACGGTGCAGAAGCCAAACGAAGGATGGTCAAGCAGTCAGGAATAAGTATCACCAGAAAGCTGTTTCCACTCCCAGGGCTGCAGAATCATAGAACTGTGCCTGGTAGGAGCTGGGAATAGAAGAGGCTGCCTGGAAAGGAGCTAGGATCTCTGAGGAGATAAAATCACTGCTAGAAAGTACGACGGGAGAGAGGACAATATCTGAGCTTATACTGTCCTCCCCTTTTCCAGCCAGGGTTCCATTGGTCAAACCACTCTGGAAGCCAGTTGACAAGGAACCTAAGAAATAGAATTTGTAGGAGAAGTTCAGGAACTGGATCTGAGGGCAAACAGGCATAATGGATGAAGTTACATATGTGTGTGGTTAGGGTTCTCCAGACAGTCGGTAAACATAGGAATTGGCTCACATGATCGTGGAGGCTGGGAGGGGCAGGCCCAGGAGAGCCCATGGTGTAGTCTAGTTTGAATCCAAAAGTCTACAAATCAGGAGAGCTCATGCTGTATGTTCTAGTCCAAGTCTGACTCTGAAGACAGGAAAAGACCAATATTCCGGCGTGAAGACAATCAGATAGAAACAGTGGGTTCTTTCTTACTCAGCCTTTTGTTCTATTCAGGACTTCAATCGATTAGATGAGGCCCACCAGTATGTGGGAGGGCAATCTGTTTTGCTTAGTGTCCCGACTCAGTTGTTAATTGAACTCAGGAATATCCACATGGACTCACTAGAAACGATGTTTAACCAAATATCCGGGCACCTATGGCTCAGTCAAGTTGAAACATGAATTGCAGGATGTAATTTTTAAAATAGATACTTAAATTTCTCTTACTTGTTCTTTCAGTTTTCACTCCCTACATTGTAAGATAAATGCCTTCCTTATCCTTCTGACACTTTTTCTTTCTCTCCTGCCCCAGTTAGCTTTGGACCTTTATTTGTAATAGTTGTTAACATTGTTATTTGGCCCTGTAATCAAGTCTCTTTTAGCTTGTCCATGAAATAGATGGTTTACATTGTTGTGATTATGTAAATAGAATCCAGATCTTAGAATTACTGATCCTTCCTTGCAACCCTTGGACCTTTTGACTGAGAACAGCTCTAGCATCGGGGTGAAATGGACTTTTTTACTTTGTGGTCCATCGTGCTTTACACCACGCCATATCTTGGTTGGCTCATTCAGACTTAAGACCATCTCATGGATATTTTTTGGTTTTCCTTAATTTTCTGATTGCATTTCTTTGTTTTATTTCAATGTTC